TGTTTCTATTTCCTTTTGTTCCTCTTTCTGGCTTTTTCCACAGTTCGTCTTTTCTACCTCCTTTTTTTAACTTGGACCATTTGCAATTAGCCCAGTCTCCTTGAGCAATCAACCATATAGCAATGTCTGGAACTAGCACATATCAAATAGTACACTGTATGTCCAAGTCTCACATGATTGAATCTTCAAGCCAGTGAATCATCAAAGAGAGGAGCAAGAGGGGAGAATAGGCAATGAGGAGAGAGAGGAGAATTACAATAATAATTAGTAATACAAGCATGCTGCTCTCCCTCTCCTCCTTCGGGCATCTCCCTCAGTGCCACCTCAGCAGGATTCTCTCAATCTGACATGTAGCTGATGGAGTCTCTGTGCAGCATCAATCAGGGCGCACAACCTCCCCTTCCTCCAGGCTATAGAGGTTGGCGAGTCCCTTCCTCTGTCAACGTGACGAACAGCAGCAGCGTGACCACATCAACAACAGGTAGGACAAGGTAAGCTTCCCTTCCACGTTACCCTCTTCCAGTCTCACAGCCTGATCCCTTCACCACCTTGCCATGCACTAGAAGTATCTATGCTGGCAGCTGTGGCCACCCACTCTCTCTCTCCTCACAACACCTTGGCTGGCGCTCTACCTCAAAGCCTGGTGCCAGCAGCCTCTTGCCGTAGCCTCGCGTGCAGCAGCTTGGCCGCATGCCAAATGCAAGACAGAATGATCTCCACGGTGGCTGGGTCAACTCTATATAGTGTTGGCTCGCGTAGACCATCCTCTAGCCCCATTGGGTCAACGACCCAGAATATCTGAAAGTCAATGGCCTGGATGCAACGCTGTCACATGCTTTCCCTGTGTCCCACTTGGACCGGAATCTTCTGGCTACCTGCAGACAGCCTTTGAGATGCATCTGATCGACGGCCATGGTGGACTCCTACGAGTTGACTTTGACCTTGGGCCTGTATTCCCGTGTAGAGCCTGACTCTTGATTTTCCAGGAATCAACTGTCTGGCGTGGGGTTACTGGACAATGTTTTGAATAGGGCTCCGTACCCCTTGGCTCTAGGGACTGTCTCAGACATTTTAAGGCCTCAGGACGGGACTTTTGACCCCTCATTCTGGCCTTTGACCAAAAGCAACGACCCTGCCTATGACTCGTACAGTATGTGAACTGAGTTTATTGCACATTTCTCAATTTATGTGTGTCATCCTTGCGCAGGGGCCATGTTAATCTTCCTTCTCTGTATCGTTCCAATTTTACCGAATGTCTGAAAGGACACGGTTCCTCCTTTCTTTTCTTTTGTTTTTCCCTTTTTCAGTTTTTATTGTGCTTCTCAGGAGCAAGGTTCTCCACATTTGCATTGTCAAGTGCAAAGTTCCCACAGACTCAGTCTGCCATAACAGCAGACTTTGAACACTGAGAAACAAAAACGAGACAGTACGGGAGACAGGCCAAGAAGGGCAAACACAGAGAGAAGCACGGGGAGACAAAGGAAGAGGTAGGAGTGCGGAATAGAGCGAATAAGGATGGATGAATGAAGAGTCAGAAGTCAGAGCTTAACAGTAGAGAGGAGAGGCGTGCTAGCACTGCTAGGGATGAAATGAGCGATGACATGGAAAGGACCGACCCCAAAACTCTAAGCACAACAGGTCCCAGAATGGCTGGCATTAACCATGCCGGCAAACGACTCCCAGCAAGTTACAGACCAGGACGAAAGAACGGCAGCCATCACAGGGGAGCATGCATTCCTTCTTTCTTAGAAAAAAAAGGGTGACGTTATGATCCTGGCCAACTTCGAAGTACAAATTCATGAGACAGCACAATGTCGTCCAATTGCAAAAGAAATGAATGAGCTTGAGAGGAGGGAGAGGGAAAGAAGAAGAAGAAGAAGAAGAAGAAGAAGAAGAAGAAGAAGAAGAAGAAGAAGAAGAAGAAGAAAGAAAGAAAGAAGAAGAAGAAGAAAGAAAAAAGAAGAAGAAGAAGATGTACACCAGCAAAGACCAATGATAATGCCCTTCTTCTCGCCAACCACTCTCCTCCTCCTTTTCTCCTCCCCTCTTTATTTCACAATAAATAATACTAATCATGTTGAATGGCTGAACCAGAATCAATGTCTGAATCCCTCTTCTACTGCAGGCACAACATGAGGTCCACCATACCCATGGCCACCCTTCTTCTTCCCCCTCACTGCGGCCGAGGCTATGGCGGACTACTAGGGCCTTGCCCTGATGTGCAAAAGACAACTCAAAGCAGCTATCGCTGCTTCCTCTCAGGCCACCATGCCTGGCTCTGCCTCAAAGTTTCTTGATGTCGCTCCCTCCCAACGGGGGCCTTCCAGATGCAGCACCCAAGAAGGTGATGAACATGGCATCCACCATAGCCAGGTAAGTACCCCTGCCGCTCCCTTCCCCAGTCCCTTCTTCCTCCTCCTCCTACCCGAGCTCCAACACCATAGCCAAGGTGGGGAGCTAGGTAGCCGCCTTCCCCAGCAGCGCTTGGTGCTGCTAGCTCCAGCGCTGCTCCGCCAAGCGCCCCCACCGCGTGACTTCCAAACTTGCACGCAGCAAATGAGGAGCACTTCGCTCCTCCTGGAGATATAGTGGCCTGCTTGCCTCTTGGGCAGTGACTTCCAGGCCTTGCGGCCTCCAAGCAGCCGGTTACCTCCTCCCTTTCGAAGGGAAAAATCATTGCAGACTCTGATATTGCCTGTACAGGCCCTAGACTCAGACTACTTGGACTGGCACCCGCTAGACCTAGCCTACATCTACTGGGCCTCTAAAAATGACAACTTTTGTCTTCTTCTGCTTGGCCTCAAGTATCCAACACATCTACTGTTAATTGGTGTGGTACCGACCTACCTGCTACTTGAGTGTTTTCCCGCTGCTCTAAGTGTTGCGGGCCTCTTTCCCCACCACTTGAGTGTTTTCCCTGATGCAACCCTCAATGTAACGGTCACAGGTAACTTCGGGCCTCCCGAACAAACGAGTACCCTTGCGGGTTACACATGCACTCAAACCGACAAGCACTCAGACAGGCCACGCAGACCAGCAAGCACGCACACACACAGACTTAGAAAACTCAGCAACAAGCGGGAAACTCAGCAGGGCATACATTCCATTGGCAAAACTCAGAAATCAGCTGTGTGTCTCAGTCCGTGTTTGGCAGGTCCTTACAGTGACAGCATTGACATGTCATAATTGAACTGACCAGCCACGGGTAATTCAGAATTATCTTATTCTGCTCATCTGATTGGATCTGGATCCGAACTTGGGTCTGTATTTCAACAGTTCATGGATGTGCCAACTGTGCTAGGACCGTTGGTAGGGAGGACGCATCGCTTATAGTGTCCCTGGCCGCAAAATAGACATCACGATGTGTAAGTGCATAGATCCATATGCATGCGTGTAGAATGTACGCATTTGAAGAGGGACCTCAGGCCTGCAAACCAAACTAGTGGAGAACGACTTTCTGTTCCTTTTTCAGCCACATGACTGCAGCAAAGCATGTCTTCTAACTGCAGCTTTGCTGCGGCAAACAGTTCGTCGCAGTGCGATCGCGGCTGCAGCAAAGCATGCCCGGAAGCAAATGGTTTACACCCTCACCACAACCCACCCCATGTGTGTTTTTCAAACATCTCCAAATTCTCTCACCATTCCAACCACAAATCATCACAAGCCATCCATAAAACTAAAAAGGTATAGGTAGCTAGGCTACCAGCCGGGCCGCCCGGGTCACCCTATTTTCCCGGACGGCCCGGCCGTGCAAGGACCAGGGAAGGTCCTAGCAGAAAAAAATAATAAAAAAAAATCAAAAAAATCCGAAAAAAAAACTATGTTATGCAGAAAAATAAACTGAACAACTTTTGCCTCAGGGTCACATCGAAATTCTTTACCAAATTTAAAATAAAAAAAAAAGGATTTTTTTTTTTTTTTTTTTTTTTTTTTTTTTTTTTGGCCCGGCCGGGCAAGTGGCCCGGGGCCACTCTGGTAGCCTAGATAGGTAGGCAATATATCCACGTTTGTTTGTGTGCATGGTAGACATGTAGCTGTCGATCAACAAATCACAAGTCTGAATTCTGACAAAGTCACATGAATACAATAATTTTAGGAGCTAACCTCTTTTTGAAAAACACACCCTCACACACATGATCGCACACTTCCTGCACATTGCAGTACCTCTGACAGGGTCCGTGGCACTGTTCCAGTGCATCCAAGTGCCCCAAACCCAACGAGGGAAAACCCTGTGTGTGGACTCTTTTAGGTGTGTACACGGGGTGTACAGAGAAAGGTACAGCTCAGGCGTAGAGTCATGCAAAGATAAACAGAATTGCCATAAGCAATACTGTGAAAGAGGAGATGAACAAACAGAGAGAGAGAGAGAGAGAGAGAGAGAGAGAGAGAGAGAGAGAGAGAGAGAGAGAGAGAGAGAGAGAGAGAGAGAGAGGATTTACATCAAAGGTTCTAGCAGCTGAGTTGTGTGAAATCATGAGGAGATTGGAAAAGTTTGGACATCTGGTCATTTTAGCAGTTTTCATTAATTAAAGAGCTTTTATTCCCCTCTCTTCGACTTTGGTCGGAAAGTTTGAGTTTGGCTCTCAACTAAAAGCCAGTTTTCTGGCCATTTAGCAAAGCGGAATCGACTCTCTGCACTGCGGCAGCCTGCAAGGGGCTTAGACCGAAGGGAGCGAGGTTCCGCACGAGGACAAGATGGCAAGAGGTTGGGACAACGGAGTGGAGGTAGCCTTGGCATTACAGGAGGAAAGGCTTCATGGAACACCACAGGTGGGGGTGAGGGGTGGGGGAGGAGGAAGGGGGGAGGGAATAGATCAAACCACTCCTACCTCCTGAAAAGTGAGGCCAGTCCCTGCAAAAGAGAAAAACAAACTATGACAATCTGATAGTGCATCCAACAGATCCACTGAAAAGGAGTGAACCTCCATGCAACCAGGGTAGTCATAAAAAGTAGTGATGGTTTAAGGTACCGTAGGTTAGGTGAAGGAAAAATTACTCACTTGTGGCAGTTTGAGAAACCTCCACCATCTGGACCTCACAGCTCCACGCAATGCCATATCTGCAAGTCCCAGCACGTGTCCTGGATCACAAGCGATGGATATGACAGATGAGCAACCTGCACAAGGCTTCTCTATGGCAGGACTTATGTCCAAGGATAAGATCTTCAAGACACTCAGGGCATACTCACACTAGCACTTTTTCGACAACGGTTCGTTGAAGTGCAGAGAGTTTCTGCGTGGTATGCAGCAAGCGTCGGTAAGAAGGTTCCAGCGTTCCTCAGTTTCCACTTGTTTCACTTTTTGCTCCTTCAACAACGCGTGGAGTCTCTCCCCTTCCTCCTTCAACCTTCTCTTCTCATCAAATTCTTTCCTTTTCACGGCCAGCAACTTTTGATTGAGCTCACTGTTCTTCTCCTCAATCAGCAGATTCCTTTCCTCTTGGTCATTAGTTGCTTCCAACTGCTTCAAATCCATCTCTCTTTGTCAGTTTTTTCCGGAAGCTCTGTCCGGTACCCAAATTTCCCCACCCAGTCCAAGTCTTCAACCTGCTGGAGTCTCAACTCCACAGCATGACTGCTCTCCACCACCTCCTCTCCTTCTGGTTGGGCTCATTTTCTCACCAATCCTCCTCCTCCTCCTTCTTCCTCCTCTTATTCTTCAAATTCTAACTCCATCAACTCTTCTTCATCTCTTTCTCCATCTTTTTTCTCTCCTTCTCCAATTTCTTTTCAACTTCCTCCTCCTTCTTTCTCTTTTTTTCCTCCTCCTAATTTTTCTTCTCAACCAACTTCCCATTGATCTCTGCCAATTGATCTGCGGTATATGGTTGTGTAGTCCCACAAGACCTCATGGTTACACTCATGCCACATGCCCGGTGGAATCCTAGGGGAAACAGGAATCGGAGAAGGGGACCCCATAACAAGGACAGGGTCAACATTGCAAACATCAAATAGTCATCCATGGTGGCTAAGGCATGGGTAAGTAGCCTCCACCTCCTCACCACGCAGACCTATCACTCAACACTTAATCTAACTAATCTAGATTGGAGTCTGACCTGAGTCCTTCCCTCCCCACAGTGTCACTACAGCTACCCTATCAGGCTGGTGGGCAACCAGCAGCTTAAGGTCAGCCAGCAAGGACCTCATGAATTCTTTAACGATGCAGACAGGAGGTCGTGCCCACCTCGATTTGAAGGTTTACGAGCGTTTGCTACCCACGCTTCCTACTTTACGGGTGATACATCCAGCTGCCGAGCTTCTAGCCTAGACACGACCTACTTCATACATATGTTTGACCAGATGCTGACTCAAGACAAAATCTGAGATGTCATCAGTATTCTTGTCCAGAAGCAGCGACACCAAGATTTGGGAAGGTACCATGACATCCACCCATTCATGAAAGGAAATACAGGGCTTAAGGGGGGTATGCACTTCTCTTGTGAACATTCGTCCGATGAAGCTCCTCAGTGCTCCTCGCATGCAGGTACGCGATCATAATCCCCCAACCTGGCCACTTCTTCTTCGGCCTGCAGCCCCTATGTCCAACTCCCAACCTCCTCTCGCCGGCCTTCATCTTGCCAGTGTTCATCACCAACGAATGCAGCGAGTACCAACTCCGATACCAATTGCATTGAGCCTCACTGCTCGCCACCTTGAGCACGCACCCATAATGAGAGATCACACGAAGTCCACAGTAAAGTCCAGAGATGCAAAGTCCTAATAAGTGCAGCTTAGAAATTCCAACGAATTATCATATTAAGCAGTCTCACAATTCCAGTCACCGGCGCTCATCAGCGCAGAGTTCTCCAACCCAACTCCAGCATCCTCATCCAAGGTAGGTGACTCTCTTCTCTCTTTGTCCCCCTCACTCTCTCTCTCGGTCTTGTTCATGCATGCGCTCAGTCTCTCTTCATCTCTCTCTCTCTCTCTCTCTCTCTCTCTCTCTCTCTCTCTCTCTCTCTCTCTCTTGAAGGATCTTGTCTCTGAATACGTCCGCTACCAC